CAAAAATAAGAAGTTCTGGTCTACTCTTTCACGGTATGGTGTCTATAGGTCACAATTCTATAGTACATGTCACAAGAAGACCAAAGGATAGAGTTTAAATATTTTTAACGGAAATTGTTATGTTTGAAGTCATTGTAACATAAAAGAAGTCTTAACATTTTCATATGGCATGACTTGCTTTATTTTCAGTCAGAAACAATACAAAACTGAGACAACTGAAAGGAGCAGAGATTTAGTACAGTTCATACTTTGTAGATGTTTCAGTCCATGTTTCAGGACTCTGGGGGGCAGGGCAGCATGGCATGTACTTTTGGCAGAATAGAAACAGGTTATGATTTTGCCCTTGACATAGAGAGTAAAAAAGAAGGCAAGTAAATCAGAACCTTCCTGTTCACAACTGTATCAACCCAACTCCTCTAATCAGGCTGTACCTCCATGCAGCATAATTAGGTGCAAACTATTATGTGGAGTAACCTATTAAGAAGGTTATTATCCAATCATGCTCTAAATTACCCACCTTAAATTATTGCTTGATATATTTATAAGAAGGTGGAAATTATAACAATATAAGGATAACAATCATGTATCCTAATATACCTTGTATGTAGATGTCACACCAAACACTCATGAAGTCTAAGCTGGAACATTTTGGAGGTGGCTGGGTCTAGGGTACTTGATGATGCACTTAATATGACATGCTGGGCTTCATAATGTCATGTTAGGATTAAGGGTCCCCAGCCTGGATGTGAGTGCTGTCTGACTTAAAGGTAGATAGCCTGAGCAGAATATAAGGCAGAGAAAGAGGGCTGGTGCTATCACTTGCAGTTCGCTGATTGCATTTGCTACCTCGCTAACGGCACAGCTCTTCCTGCTCAGCTTTTTCTTGGATGGATTCTTTTCTGTCATGTCCCTTTGCCAATAGACCTGGCTCGCATCCAGTTCATTATGAATTGAAACCTATATGAACTATGAGCCAGCATTAAACCTTTTTACCTTCAAATTTAGTGTTAAGCATTTTGTCTAAGCAATGAGAAAATAAATAAGACATCTCCTGTTTAATAGAAAAGTGAAAGAATAGGTGAGATGGAGGGAAAGCAGCTCCAGAGAAGGCAATGTGAATTGTAGATGAGTTCAATTCAGACAATGTGGCACCATTTTTTGAATTAAACTATAGAACTATATTTGGTCCTGAACAGAATCTACAGCTTCAGAAGTGCCAGAGTGCTTAGAATACTCCAGAATGGAACACTGCATTGTAGTAATCATAGTGTAAGGCCTAAATTAAAGTGCAATATGATGTGAGGCCATGCCATTAGGTAAAATCAGCAGGTTCTCCAGTGGCCTAACTACCATTTCAACTCTGTAATGTGTATCTTCACATGTGATACTATTGAAGAATAACACACTTTATCAAGGTAGCCAGGTACAGTTGTTTCTTACATTTACGTGTTCATTATCTCTGCCCATCTAACCAATGGATAAATTCAAACACTTCTCAGTTTGTCTAGTGAAAGAGATATTATTTCTCTTTCTAGGTCTAATCTTTTGTCTCCCATAAATAATTTTTATTTTCTGATCTGAGTGCAACACAAAGCTGTGTTTTTCAAACTAGATGTGAATACCTGACTATATGTGACAAATTTATGCTCAGTGCAAGTGTCAATTTTGGATCCAAATGAACATATAGTAAAATTCTTCCCTCATTAATGTACATAGTATGTTTTAAGAAATGCACTTTTAATGTATTTTTTTTTGTCTTTTTCATTTTTATCGGTACCAGGGATCGAACTCACGACTGCCTGCTTACAAAGCAGGCGCTTATGCCGCTGAGCTAAATCCCCAGCCCCTTTTAATGTATTTTTGATCACTGTTAAACCAGAAGAAATTTCATATCAGGACTATATAGTACTTTGTTAGCAATATTTTAAAAATTCTGTAGTCTGAGGCACCTCAAAACTAGAAATTGAGATTCTCACAGTGTCAGAGACTACAGTTCTGTTATCAGGTTTAGGCATGATGGGTTTCCATTGAGATATCAGTAGTTTGTTTGCATGTGCAATCTTCTCATGTACTCTTTACCTGATTTTTCCTGTGTGTGTGCGCATGCTCTTACTCTTATTTCTCATTCTTCATCCTACTTCCTTCTTGTAAGTGTGAACACTTCATATTGTATTAGGTAGAATCATAATGGGATTTAGTGCAAATGTATTTTTAAATAAAATGCCACTGAATACAGTACCAGTCTGATGAAATTGTGGTTGAAACTTCCACAAGGTATGCCAGAAAACCCCCTTCTTTTTCCCCCCGAACCTTCCATAAACTTTAGTTCAGATTACAGCTGTTTCCCAGAGACATTTGGTCCTTATGGTTTGTGGACGTTCACTATGACATGCATTGTAAAAAACAATTCCCAAATGTCAAGCCATTCAACCTCTCTACTATCCTGTACAACACCATTATCCTCGCCCCCCCCCCCCCCACTTCCCGTGCTATCCGGGCATGACTTCTTGGGTTATGGGAACTGCCAGTGTACATAAAGCTGAATTTATTCAAATGGTACCAAAAGCCATGCATTGCCACATTTAGCCTTGAAATGTAAAAAAAAAAAAAAAAAAAATCACTGTACATACTAACTAGGTTGGGAAGGGTAATTTGAAAATTTGAAGGTAGTTTCATTCATTTATTTGGGGGAAGAAATGAATGAAACTAGAGGCAGCTAGGAAAGATGTGCTGTTGGCACTAAAGAGTTGTTCCTTGATGACATTCTAGAAGCTTTGATTTGTATCCAGGAGCAATGAACACACAAAATCCAAACTAAATGGCATATTCTTTATGAAAAATATTAATTTTATTTACTAAAGCAGATTGTTGGCAGACTAAGTTTCTTTGAATGTATGTAATTTTCTTTTATGCAACCTGAATTAAAAAAGTAACTATAGAGAAGGTTGGAATTGTCTCTATAACTAGCAGTGTAAATATATTTAATTAAACACTGAATGCTTGTCAGTCATCACGATATGTTCATATATATACATTTATATACATATGTATCATTTTAATGGCTTACAAAATTGGTTTGATTTATTTTCTGCTTCTAAAAGACAGTCTAGGGGAGGGATTTAGCTAAGTGGCAATAATGCTAGACTGGTAAGCACTAGGTTGCGAGTTCGAACCCTGGTACCAAAAAAAAAAAAAAAAAGACAATTTAGTACATTGGGTAGCTAAGCAAAAACAATTTATTTCTGATAATTCTAGACTTGAGAATTTCAAGATCAAGATATCAGGAGGTGTGCACTGGAAACAAATATCTTCTTGCTGTGTCCTCATAGGTTGGAGGGAGAGAAAATTCCCTTCTGGTTTCTGATAAACTCAGAAGTTGTATTACCTTGGATGGTCTCTCAAGATTTCATCCAAAGATAAGCAGTTATCAAACATTCCACTTCATAACACAGGCATTGTAAGTGGAAGGATTTTAACATTTCAAATGACAAGAATAATCAGTGCACATATAGGATGATCAACTAAAATGGACTGAGAAACAACTATTAATATTTTCATATTCTCAAGGGGGTAAGTGTCAGAGCTAAGAAGGTTCCATAAAGAAAATTTAACAACAGTTTACAACACCCCATATTTTTAATTGAAAATAAGGAGCGTATCTTTATCTTATGATTTACTACTCGCAAATACATACATATAAATATATATAACAAAATTTTATAACTGTAGATATATATCCTGCAATATTTATATATATATACAATTATAATAGGAATTTGACACTGAATAGCTCCATTCACTTTCTTAATTAATACTACAAAATATATGCATAAACATAGATGAATAAATATTACATGGAATATAAAACACAAATATATATAATTAGTTTTGTTACATTATTTAAAAAACGTTCTAAGCATAATATTGCTATCAATTTTAAGAGTAAATCATGTTAAAATATCAGATTTAAGTGCAGACAGAAAAGGAAAAACATTTGCTAATAATATGACCATCTACTTTAGCAAGGCAAGTCATTCTTAAAAGATAGTGTTGTCCTCAAATGACCCATCAGAGACAATTACACTAGGAGATAAAGTTTCTAGAACAGAATTAATTTAAACATTGACGCTGGTGATAATTAGAAGTAAAGATTAGTGCAAGTTTTCTCGGACAAACACAACCTATACTAAATACACAAAATTGTTATCAGCTTTCCTATATAATATGAAACATGAGATAAAGAGTCAGTGTCCTAATATCCTAAAAGAGGCAATACGGGAGAATTTAGAGGAATGCAGTATTTTCACGAAATCCCTTGATTAATGTGAGTGGATGGAGAGTTTGAAAACCACTGACTTGAGAAAATCCAACACAGTACTTTAGGAGTTAAGACAGAGTTTTCCTTTCACAGGCTGATGGGGCTCAGGACCACAAACTGCAAGGAAGGTCTCCATAGTGTGGGTCCACCCTAATTAAGGAGGCGTGGCAGAGGGAGGGGCCAGAAACTCCGAGACAGCATCTCTTTCCAATGGGCTGTGAGATTGAGGGAGCTCTCCACTCCCTCACAGAGGGGGCGCCAGAGTAACTGTCCTTGCAGTCAGCCTCTACAGATCCTTAAATAGGGGAGGCGCTAGAACTCGCTCTCTTTTGCGGACCTTGACAAGTGGGGGCCTGCGCCCACTGCTGCCAGCCCAGCGAAAGTCAGCAAAAGGACCCAGGCTGTGGTTGAGTGAGGTGAGAACCTGTCCGGAGAGGGGAGAAACACCAGCTTGGGAAGGGGGTGTGGACCCTGCCTCACAAAGCCTCGGTGTTTTCTCGGGAGTTCGGGGGGGGGGGGGTCAAGAGCACAGGTTGGCTGAGACAGGCTGGTATTTGCCCGTCTGAGGTCTGAGGACTGCCTGGGTAAAGACCAGTGGGTATTTTCATGCAGGAGAAGGAAAGGAGGCCTTCGCTAACTCCGAAGGCCATGTAACCTAGACTTAGGGACCAAGAAGACCATTATGGCGCTGGAGCGGCACGCGGTCAAAATGGAGGGCGCCACGTGTGAGCTGGGGTCTCGCGTGATCCAAGAGCAGAAAACCTCGCAGCGAGGGTCAGGGCGGGGTCAACACAGCAAACACCATCTTGCAATCAAGGAATCGTGAGCACGGGAGCACCAGGCAGTGCTCAGGAGATTGCGGCTCTGGCAAGACTGACGAGCACGGTTTGTCCTGTGTCAGTTATTGGGGACCCTAGTGGGACCATCAGTCTGTTTGCTGCAAAGAGGGTAATAGGGCTGTGGGGAGCTCAGTGTGAGCCTAGGAGCTTCAAGTCAGCATGAGGGAGATTTCTAGGTATTCAGGAGTCACCCTGAGCACCCTATGTGAAGTCTAGGAAACCCATGGCTGATGGCAATCTGGAATGAGGAATAGGCTTATGAATAGCACTAATTTTCTCCATGAGATGGAGTAGGGAGTGTTGATAATTGTGGGGAGGGATTTTGTCTAAAGAGCATGACTTAAAATATATAATAACATTTCTAACAATTCCTAGAAGTTAAGAATACTCTGAGACTTAGAGAAAAAAAAAAAAAAAAAAAAAAAAAAAAAAAAAAAAAACTATGTCGGTACCACAAAATCATCAGTTTTTTCTTCTTTTATACACATGTTTAAAATCAGGTGTGTGGTTTCCTTCAATCAAAATTACACTCTGGAGTGGGGTTTGGGGGCGCAATCCTGTAATCTGAGTACTCAGGAGGCTGAGGCAGGAGGATTCCCGCACTTTCAAGAGAAGCCAGGGCTACAAAGTGAGCCCAATGCCAGCCTGTACTGAATAGTGAGATTCTCTCTCAAAAAGACCAAAATTACTATACTCTTGAAGGTATATATATATTTGACCAAAAAAGGTTAATCCGAGTTCATGGGAATGTAGTATTCCACTGGATACAAAACCACATTTACTCTTATTAATTCGAAAAGAACAAAAAAGGAAAACAGCATTTGAATGCAAGATAATAGGAGAGAAATTATAATTAATACTTGGTGTAGTTTTCATCACAGCTTTTTCCTAAGTCATAGTATAGGCATCATGTCTTGTTCAAATAATACAAGCTTAAACCTTTCTTTTCATCATTGTAAGACAAACTAGCAGTGTAAATACCTTAAAAGCTTGTATATGCACAATATTTCTTTTATGAATTTATTACATTTCCCTTTGCCTCATCTTCACAGTTTTATAATAGCTAAATCTGAGAAGCAAGAAAAAATGAATCAATTAAAGAATGGATATGTACTGAAGTACTACTCACACATGAATAATGAAAACTTGAAACTTTTTTAGATAAATGGATGTAAGGGGAGACCATACTCAACAGGAGAAGTAAACCTGACACATACATGTAAACATTACATAGTGTCACCAGTGTGAGAACCTGAACCAATAAATAGGACCCAATATATCAATGGATAGTGTGATTTGGGAAGAAACTAGTAAAAATAGAATCATGTTTTCTTATGCACAGTGGGAGAATATAAGAAGGTAAGGTGATTGTCACACATTCCCAGAGAGTCTGAGTGAGGGCAGCAGCACCACAAATTGAACAGGTAAATAAAGGTTTCAGAGGTCAAATAAGTGGATAAAGGACAGCTCTTGATTGAGTGGGCATCAGGGAATGGAAACCTGATCCATACATTGAGCATTCCATGTCCAAGGAAAGCATCTCAGGCTGCTTCTCTGTGTCACTGTTTCATAGGAAATCTGAGACTCATGATTCACTGTGAGGATTTGAGTACCATATAGCAGACAGAGTAACGGAGTCTCTGGAGATGAGTAGATTTCTCTGGATGAGAAGTGCATACCTGCATACCTTAGTAGCCCATGAGACAGAGGGCTGGCTGTGCATAACTCTCCGTGGGGCAGAGCCCGTCACATGATGATTGCCATACAATCTCTTCCACTCTTTCCCCATGGACTGAGGGATACAGAATGTTACTTTTTGGAGGTTGAGAAATCAACTTCTGAGAAGCAAAATTGAGATATAAAGACCCCTGTTGTTAGTGATCACTGTAATAGCAAACAAAGACTCAACACCACAAACACAGGACTGACATATGGCATCCTTTTACCATTCCAGGACACCAATAAAAGGGTCGTTACAGTGTGGCCCACAACTCACTCTGTCTACCTGTAGAAGGACACATTTCCTAATGCATGTCCACTGTCCATAGTGCACCATTATCACAGCAAACTAGAAGAAGCTTGGGTTAAAACTAGGTGAGATCTCTGTGAAGGTACTCACACAATCTTGTTTTCCCTCCTCCAGGAGCCTGCAGCATAAGCCTTCCTCCTCACACTCCTCCTTGGGCCCAAGCAGATTCACCATGCCTCGTCATCACAAGAGCAAACGTCATGCTAATAAGAAATGCCCACAGGCCGGACGTGGCAAGCAGGGTGTTGAGGTGGCCCAGGAGGCAGTAGCACCCACAGCAGAAGGAGCTGCTGCTGAAGTAGAAGCCGCAGCTGCAGCAGTACCAGAAACAGCAACACCTGCACCAGCAGCTAAAGCAGAGGCAACAGAAGTAGAAGCCAAAGCTGCAAGCGGAGAAAAACCAGAAGAGGAAAAGGGGTCTTCTTTTGTCCAGAGCCCAACAGGTGCTGCTTCTTGTAGCCCTCCCCTGACACCTGGGAGGAAATCACCATCTGCTGGTGCTCTCTCTGCTAATGGCTCTGTTGTCAATTCTGATCCCGGTTCCAGTTGTAAGTATGAGGAGTGCCTTTTTAGGGCCAGTCACTGCAGTGACTATGTGTCTGATAACCCCCGGTGCCCTATTGAGAAGTTGGAGTGGTTCATACTCAACAGATTTAATTCGAAGCAGCCCATTACCTGGTTACAGATGATGATGTCGGTGGACCAAAAATACAGACATGAATTACCTCAGATTTTCAAGAGTGCCCGTGAGCACCTAGAGATGATCTTTGCAGTTGAAGTGAAAGTAGTGGATTCTACCCGTCACTCCTACAACCTTTTCAGCATGCTGAGTCTCCCCAACAATGGGAGGATTCACCCTGGCAGGGGCTACCCTAAGACTGGGCTGCTGATGAAAATCCTTGCTGTGATCCTCATGAAAGATCACCGTGCTTCTGAAGAAGACATCTGGAAATTCCTGAAAAAGATACAAGTGTATCCCGGCAAGAAGCACATCTTTTTTGGAAATACCAAGCGGCTTCTCACCAATGATTTTGTGAGACTAAAATACCTGGAGTACCAGCAGGTGCCTGGCAGTATTCCTCCATGCCATGAGTTTACGTGGGGTCCTCAAGCCCAAGCCGCGACCAGCAAAGAAAAAATCATGAAATATTTCACCAGCATCAAAAAGATCTGTCCTACCTACTTCTCATTTCTTTTTGAAGACCTTGGTAGAGAAGAAATAGAGAAATTTCAAGCCTGGCTTTCTACCAATCGTGTCTCTTCTGGTAAACGTAGGGCAATTGCAGCAGCCATGCATCCTACTGCTCCTGCCAAGCCCATCCATGCCTGAATGTTCAGGTCGTTTTGTTTTAGAAAGGAGAATTTAATATGCGCAGTTTTCCTGCAGAAGTTAGAAAGCCCACCAGTAGTGGGATATGCAATGGAGAAAATCTGTATTCCTTTGTATAAGTCAATGCTTTAAAATGTTTCTTTGTGCATTCCTGAAAGTTGTGCTTAAGTCTCTATCAGTTTCCCCTCATAGCTCTTGAGTGTATTTTAGCACATATAATTGATTGTATTCCCTATGCCAAGCTATGTGTTATTCCACTTGTACTCACATGATGAAGATCCAGTCTCCGCTACTTAAAAATTTGAGCCTGCATTCCCGAATATAGTAGGAAATTTGTTGAAATTCCTTTTTGACATTTATTTACATAAAAGCAGTAATTGAGATGAGGGTGTCCTTGAGAAAAGTGACATGACATTTCCTAAGGAAGCAGTGTGGAACTTTGGAAATCGCAGATTTTTGCCTCTGTATAATTTTCATTTAATTTTGGGGTAGGCTAAAGATGGATGTGAAGTTAATGTCGTGACATTCATGTTGTGAGTCAGCATTGTGAAGCCAGTTCCTGTAAATCGGTTTAGTCAAGTGTGATAAAACACTGTACTCGGGGATTCTTAGAGTGAGGTTTCTTACATTTCTTGTTTATGAAACAGAACATTAGAATAGGAAATTTTCTTGGAAGTGTTATAGAACCCTACCGTATGCAGTGTAATACAGTAGAGCAAAAATTTGAAGCATGATAAATTCTTGAATTCTCTTAGAGAATTTTCTCTTTGTTGTTTTAAATAACTGAATGTTTTATTTGTGGTTCTATCTTGTTCTAGAATGTTAAAATAAAATTTTTATGAAGCATTTTATATGTCCTGAGAGTTATTCAGCATTTATTATCAGGCACAGAAATTTTGTGATGATGTATGGAGTACTAGGATGGGGAAATAAAGAAGTCTTAGCTTCAGGATGGTAAAATAAAGAAGTATTAGCTTCTTTGTTCAGAATTTTTGAAAGCAGAACTGAAACCAGAATGGTAGGGGATTAGACTAACCTTTTGCACATGTAACTAAGGTACACATAAAAATATGCATCCTCACCCATTCCCACAAAATACTTACCTTCAAAAACTCCCGTATTTGTTATTAGAGCTTTAGCCTATGATATTCATAGATGTCACAGGAAAGGAGTGATATTCGACGAATTATGGAAAAAGAGAATGGAACGATATCCTTCATTTTGTTTCCTAACATGAGTATGGAGGATTGTGGGAGGGAGGGACAGAGAAGCGGAAAGAAATGAGGAAGGGCAAAGGGAAGCAGGCAATGTTGTAGGTAAAAGATGCAGAAGAGGATTGGAAAAGCCAGAGAGTGGGAAACGGAAGCTGAGAGGCAGAGAAAGGTGACATAACAGTAGGAAGTAGTAAAGATAAAATGCCAGGGAGGAGAAAGAATGAGAGCCGGGGAGAGACGCAGAGAGGAAGAGAGTGAGGGAGAGAGAGTAAAAGAGGTTGCTTCGCCTGTCAGGAATAAAAAATCTCAGTATGGGAACACATTTATAAACCAACATCCAATTCCCAAAAGTTGCAGCTTCAGATACCACAAAATGAGGCTGAATTCTTTAGCATATGGATTTGGACAGAGATGGTGAAATTACAGAACCATTCTGATTATTGCAGAAAACTGCTGGGAGTAACCTTAGCATGGTGGGTAAAGAAGAAGCAAACCTGTACCTGAGCAGGAAAGCAAGGGTGTCTTGGACTCTGTTTTGTCCATCTGTCTCATTGATGCTGAATGCATTGGCTTCACCAGGTGTTATTTGAACATTTTTTCCAAGCATTTCAGGGAAAAGAAGGAAGCAGTCCCTTCAGGTGAGCTGTACCAAAGCCGCTGCTCAGGCACATTTCATCACTCAGAACTGGGAGTGTAACCCAGAGCCTGCACATCCTTTATGTTGCAGCATTTTTCTTGAAGAGGGAGAACTAGATGCCCCTTCACTGAAAGGGCCTTTTCATTAGGTTGCCTTGCATAGGATTTTCCAGACCCTAAATGAAAGATTTTGTCGAGTTTATACATAAAAATAAATATAGAATAGAGGGTTTTTTTGGTAAGGTCAACAGGGAGGGTTTAAAGAACTTGTGTCTTGACAACAATTCTTGGGGGCTGAGTTGCAACCAGATTGAGAAGACAACTGTACACTGAAACGTGCATACTCGGTAGGTGCGATTGCTTTAGGCTTCTCTCTTTTCTTTATGTGATAGTATGGCTTCTGTATTAGAAATACTTGAGTTTAGAAATTAAGAGCCCCCGATGCTGCATAGTTTTATCTGGAATCAAAATAGTATTAACTTCCATCAGTCTCTAACTCTCGGAAGTCTTTTCTACATTTCTTGCTGTATAGTGTACATGGAACACGTGTCATTACAAGCTATGGCTCCCTAAATTTGCAGGACAAACGATCAATTTAAAATTATTGTAAGTTAACACAAATGGTAGGAGACAGAATTGGAGACAGTCTCTAATTTTGTTCAACCTGTATTGTTGCACGAATGCCTCCTGATGCAGAGCTCTCCTTTAATTCATTTTCTTCTCAGTATTATGAAATGGATCTCAGTAAATATAAAAGCATGTGTAGTCAAAGGAAAACAAACAGAAAAATCAATATTATGTAAATAAGAAAAGAATGGCAATTTTTCTTGACCTTTATTCTATTCAGCCTGTTACTTCTACCCAGTGTTCCCTGAACCTGACATTGCTCCTGTGGTGATGTTTCATGCAAACAGAGTCCTTTCGAGGACAGGAGCCCTTTTCCCTTGAGGGTTTTCTGCTGAAAACTTCTGCCCTGGAACTTGACGTGATGCCCAGATCTTCTCTGCATCCTGCTCAGAAGGATACATTCTGCTCTCAGTGTAATGACAATTCCTATGGCCTCTCTCTGTTTAGAACAAGGCACCAGGTTCTCCAGCCTGGATGCAAGACATCTTTATGTTCTTTCTCATGAGGCAGAGTGGAGATCACTTCTTCTCTGTTTTTTCCTTCTTTATTTCCTCTATTATTCTCCTTTTCTTATAATATTATAGATATGATTTTTATTAAACAGTTTAAACATATTCTCAAGTTGAGTGTGTCTGTCATTTTGCAGAACTCTTGGAGTTTATGGATTTATACGGCAGTCACAAGGCTATCCTTAAGTAGGAGGCCTAAGGTTCTTGCATGGATGTCTCAGATTTTTTTTTCATCATGAATCAAATATCTTAAGACACAACCCAAGAGAAAAGACAAGAAATCTTTCTGATTTCTGTATATATGTCTACCTAAAGAGATATGAATGTTTCTGTTAACCCTGCTATCTAAGAAGATATACTTTTTATTTCATCTTTAAATGCTTAACTTCTAGGATAATGGCATGAGTTATAAAACAATACAATGGATCAAAGATCAAAGAATTAAAACACAAACACTAAATTTGCTGGAAGACAAAGTAGATAGAGTTGTTGAAGGCATAGGGATAGGGAGAGAATTCTTAAAAAAAAATAAAATGCACAGGAAACTCTTCCCAGAATTAATCTGAGATCTCCTCTTACTGAACTGTGTTTGCCTGTGAATTGAGATCTTCAAAATATTGAAAATAAAACCCACAAATTGGGAAAAGTCTTAGTCAAGTATCCCTCATACATGGGAATTCTATCTAAAATATATAAAGAATAAAAAAAAAAATAGATACCCAACTTTCAAAGACCCAATTCAAAAATGGGCATATGAAATGAATACACACTTCTCAGATGAAGAAATACAAACAGAAAAAAAAAATACATGGAAAAAATACTCAGAATCATGGGTCATTAGAGAAATACATATTAAAATCACACTGATATTCTATCTCAATCCAGAAAGAATGGCCAAGATCAAGAAAAGCTCAAATAACAAATGTTGGCGAGGCTGTGGTGAATAAGGCACACTTCTGCACTATTGGTGGGCATGAGGACTGCTGCAACCACTGTGGAAATTTGTCTGGAATTCCCTCAAAAAGGTGGAATTGGAAGTCCCACTTGACCTAGCTACTCCACTTTCGGGCATTTTCACTGAAGAACTGAAAACATCATACCCCAGTGTTATATGTTTATAGAAACACAATTTTACTAGGTAAATAAAGGAAACAAAACAACACAATGCAGAATTACTGCCCTAACAGAGGATTTACATTTGTCATAACCATATTTAAATTTCTGAAAAAAACTGTGTGGAATGAAATAATTAAGAATCTCAAATTTTTAACTGATAGCAGCATACATTTTTTTCAGGTTGCACAAGGCCTGAGGTAGTCAAGAAAGAGCCCATCTGATTAATCAGAAATACTATGGCACCAAGTGTAAGGTAGCTTCTTAATGACGTTGATTGTGTAGGGGAGCAACCCAAGGGACCAATTTCTAGGCTTCACTTACCAGAAAATTTGTGTTTCCACAGTACGAAAAATGATTTTTCACATTCCAACCATAAACATAGGCGAAAGAGAAAAAAGTGCAGTTAAGGTGACTTCAAAAGGCAGGCAGAGTCTGGCTAACACCCCGCACATGCACTCTTACCTACTATATATGTGACACTGAGCTCCAGTGCTCTGGCCTGCCTGGAAGTATAGGGGGCTTTCTTCAGCTTGCTCTCCAAACACTCCATGGAATCAGTACTTTCTGTGGAGACTGTCGTCATCATCAACTCTTTCCAGATGTGGCATGTCCTTGACGTACAAGTGTTTCCAGACATATTTTTCTCTTGCACTATGAAATTATGCTTTCCAGGAACTAAAACTCTATTGTTGGGTAAAAATGCATTCAACCTGCATCATTACAGATAAGGTGAGTTACTAGCGATGTTTAAGTGTTTTCCGTAACACTATCCATTTCACACTCCAAGATTAGGGTCTGTATGACTTACAACTCAGTCTTTGAATAAAAACACCTTCAGGGGCTATTGAATGTTTCTATATCACTATGAAGACCTTATTTAAATTGAATGATGGGGAGAGAACTTTGTGTTGGATAGAGCCTTTCCTCTGGATTCCCAACTGCATTCCCAACTGAAACTCTGAATTCTTACCTCATAGAAAGGCAACACGATTAATAACTACCCTCTAGGTGACAGGACAGCATGGGGTGCACTCCAGGAATTAATGGGTCATGGCAAATAGGTGAGGGAGAGTCTAGTCTATGTGCTCCTTTCTAAGTTGGATTCCCTGTCCTGTGCAGCCCTGAGTCACTAGCATGCAGCATTTTGTTTTAGCTGAGATCTGACTTCAGATCTATAGATTTTGAGTTTTATAATGATACTTAGCTGCTAAAGTATTTTGGGGTCATTATGATCAAATATATAAAAGTACAAATCACAAAGCACCTAGCAGACCCAGGTTGGAAGAACTGAGGTCTCCTTTACAGAAATCCAATTTCATTTTTTGACTCTCGGGTTTTTTCTGTTATGTGTTGGTAGATGCTACTGCAAAGACCCTTGTGATCCTAGGTGGAGTATTTGCTGGTGGTGACATTGTTAAGCATTGGAGCTGACTTGCTGTTAGCATATAGGGCCTGTTTGGAAGGTGCAGGGCTCTGGCAGATTAACTGGGAGGATTTACTGTCTCTTGGGCTCTTCCCTTCCCTCACTCGATTTCCTGTCTTCCATATATTTTTGAGCAGCTGTCCTCTGCTGTTTACTTTGTCATGGGGCACAGTGTTGGGTTCAGTTGACTGTGGACTGAAACACGAAGCAAAACACAATTTCCTGCATTAACTAACTGCGTGGTATTAGGTCTCAGGGACAAGGAAAGTGACTTCCAAAGTGTAGTCTTGTTGTCTCTAACTATTTTACTGGAACTTTTGAGCAGTAACTATATGTTGCCTTTTTTTCTATGATCTTAGAAAGAATATTTGAAATACAAATAATGTCATTGTCAATAAAAACAGTAGAGGAAAAGTCTGTGTTCAATGAAATGGTGTCTTATATACTGTACTTCAGTTTTTATTTATTTATTGATTTATTTTATTAGTGCATGTGTGCAGTATGTGATGTTTGCATTCCTAGTGTGGAGTTGCTGTGTGTTAGCGATACATCACTGTACCCTTTTTCATCTCCTTTCTTTGCCTTCACTCCTCTTTCCATCTGGCTCTTGATCCATTTCCCACCTGAGACAGATATAGTGCCTTATTTCCTTTATTGTATCTCTTAGATTGAGCTTCATTTATAAAGTGGATTTCAGAGGAGTATCATCTTTCTTTGGCATATACAATAATGAGATGAGCAATATATCAAGTAGGTCATAATCTATTTCTGAATATCAAATCACAGGCCTACTCTTACTTAAGGTGGGAAGAGACAAATCATAATCACCAGAAGGCAATTTTTGAAATCAACAAAAGGCACACTTAAAAATGGAGAATATACACATATATAGAGTTTAAAAAATAGAAAGACAACATGGTAAAACACATAATGTGAACAGTGAGGAGAAAAACATAGAAGTGTGTTATATATGCAGAATATTTTTGTAAAATCCCAGTTACCTATGATTCTGTAATAAGCAAAATTATTCTTCAAAGTAAATGTGAAGTGTCAGAGATAGAGCTTAAACGCAGTGTCTGCCTGCCATGAATGATGTCATGTCTTTGATCTCTTGTATAAAAAAAAAAAAAGTAAAAGAGAGAATGGGAAACTAAAGTTTCCTAGAGAAGCAAGGAAAAATTTTGGACTCGATATGCCTTTCAAGAATTAAAAAGACATAAAGTGGACAAAGAAATGTCAAAGTATCCCTATTTGTAGACAACATGACCCTATACTTAGAAGACCCTAAAACTCCAATAACAATTTTTTTAATTTGAGTAAATAAATTCTACTTAGTGACAGGATGTGCAACCACAATATGAAAATCAATAGGTTTTTAATCCAAAACAAACCTCCTGGGAAATTAATCTAGAGGTGAATTTCATCACTAATAGCTTTAAAAATAGAAATGCACAGAAAACAACATAATGAAGGAGGCGCAGTTCCTCAAACATAAGAATTTGAAGGAGACACTAGAAGATGAAAAGACATCCAAGGACCATGCATCAGCAGAACTAAAAATGTTCAATTCATCGTATCGCTGAAAGCAATGTAGAGTTTCACTACAATCACCATCAAATTACCAATGACATTTTCGCAGGAGCTAAAAATCTCTAAAATTTGAATGGAAACAAAAAAGTCCCAAAATAGCCAATTCAATTTGGAGCAAGAAAGTCAGTGATGTACATATTAGAACAATGTACATCAAAATACATTACAATGTTTTAGTAAAAAAGATATCCTGACACTGGAAGAAAAACATACAAATAAGTCAATATCAGAGCATAGGGCATATAGAAGAAAAACTATGCAAATAAAAGAATCTTATTCTTGATAAAGAGACCAAAAACATATGTTGAATAAAGAGCAAGTTGTTTAACAAAATGTCAAAGGTAAAGTGGTTTATGAATATGCAGAAAATTGAAGCTAGTTCCCAATCTTTCATACTGCAGAAAACTCATATCACAATGCATGGAACAATTAAATATAATACAAGACACTTTGAGAATGCTGGAAGACAGCTTAGGAGAAATTCTTCAGAATACAAACACTACCAGTGACTCCCTGCAGGGGACATCAGTAGAGTGGGCCATAAGAACAATGACAAATGGGATTGCACCAAATTCAAAGCTTCAGCACGGCAAAGGAAACAAGAAAAACAGTAGATAGCCTGCACAATAAAATTCTGTCGCAGTGACAAAGCTTAACTACCAGAAACAAATAGCACAAGTAAT